TCTTGATGTTAATAAGGGTGCAGCTCGTTCTGGTAAGGTCTTTCTCTTTACACATCGTTCACAGGTTCTGGCTTTGTTGTAAACGTCAGTGGACATCCGTGGCCAGAAGAGCCGCAAACAAACCAAGTCCAAAGTCCTCTTGATTCCTAGGTGACCCATTTGATCATGAAGCTGAACCATCACCACATCCCGACACTCCTCCGGTAGTACCAGCTGATAAGTAATACCATTTCCCACTTGCCGTCTCCTGAGAAGAAGGTTGTTACGGAGCTCCAATTTGTTTGCTTCTCTCAACAGGTGTGGCAGATCTGGGAGTGAATCCCTCAGCGATGGCGGTGGGGATTCTCCTTTCTCAAGCTGTGCAATCACATGCTGGACGGTGGGGTCCACTCGCTGTTTAGCAGCAAAATCAGCAGTAGAGAAATGAGGGAGAACAGAGGTGGCAAATTGGATGTCATTTGTGTAACTGTCAGGTAGGCTTCCAACATCGGCAGACAAAGAGAGAACAAGGGCATGGTTATCATCACTGTTTGAGCTGAGCACTAGTTGATGGTCACAAATGGCTTCAACAGTTTGCTGGTCAATTGAGGTGTAAACTGGTCCTTTTGGATGATGTTGAACAAATTTTAACACTCTCTCTCTTTCTTTACAAGACAAAAGATCGTCAGGCAACACAGAATGTTGTCGTCGGGAGAGCCCATCAGCATCAGCATTCTGTTTTCCTGCTTGGTAAAAAATCTTAAAGTTGAATGTGGATAGGGCAGAAAGCCATCTGTAACTTGTAGCATCAAGTTAAGATGATGTCAAAAGATAAGTTAGTGGATTGTTATCCGTGGCAACAGTGAATTGTGCTCCATAAAGGTAATCATTAAACTTCTCAGTAACTGCCCATTTAAGGGCCAGAAATTCCAATTTATGTGCTGGGTAGTTTGATTCACTTTTGGATAGACCTCTACTTGCATAAGCTACAACTTGATTTTTCCCATCATTTTCTTGATAAAGCACTGCTCCGAGGCCTGTAGAACTGGCATCAGTATGGAGAGTATATGGCTTGCGAGGATCTGCAAATACAAGTACAGGAGAAGAGGTAAGTTTTTCAATGATGGTTCTGAATGCATGTTGACAAGATGGAGTCTAACGTTCGGTGAAAGGTTCCTTTGGGTTGAAATAATTCTGGGGTTTCAACAGAGGTTTTAGCTTCTTTTGGCTTGGTGGATAACCGACAGTGAGGTCGTGTAGTGGTTTGACGATTATGGAATAGTCCTTCGCGAACCTCAGTAGACAGTCCTGTGTGCCCAACCTGCATTGGTTCAGGCTCAGGTAAAGCAAGGGGATGCGTTGTCTGAACCAATGGTGAAACGGCGAAACTAGGACCCGGGGAAAATGAGGACTTTTATTTCTCTTTGACGTGTTTGTAGGAAAGTGGTTCACCTGATGAGGTCGCAAACCTGGAAGTGGAAGGCCTTTGGGAGTTGTAGTCATGTTCCCGTCATCTTTCCCGTATGCGGTCGTCGATGGCAATAGCCAGGTAGATTAATTGGTCAAACCCCTCAGATTCATCTTGAGCAGTAGTTTGGTCCTTGCGGTGATCAGACAAAGAGTTTAGGAAAGTACCTTGTAGTGCTAGTTCGTTCCAGCCGGTCTGAGCGGCATTCGGCGCCTGCAGAGGGCGATCAAAAATCCAGCAAAACTCCTTTAAAAGTCGTTCGTAGGTAACAGAGGAATTATGGAATCATGGAACTGTAGAAACGAGTTGGCCCATCGGAGGGCATTACCTTTGAGCTGACTGACAAAATAGGTGATTTTAGCTGCGTCAGTAGTGTAAAGAGATGGAGCCCCTTCAAAGGCGAGTCTGCAATGGAGTAGGAAACCTCCACATTGGTCAGGGTCTCCTGCGAAGAACTCAGAAGGCTTAATGATTAACTGTTGAGCAGGGGAAGCCGGTCCAGGAGATTCACAAGTGCAAGTGGAATTGGGGGTTGACTGGACAGTAGATGTGGGAGGAGAAGGTGGTAGATGTTGTTGTTGAATAGAAAAGACCATACCTCCAAGTTCCTGCAGGTTGGACTGAGCGGAGCGTTGTTGGGTCAGAACCTGCTGCAGTATTTCTTCCAATGTGTTGATTCGCTCCACCTGAGAGGTAGCATGGGCCTGTTTGCTCCTGGTCACATTCTGGGTCTTAGTTAGCTGGAGTATTTATGTTATGTCTTGGGGAACCCAGAGTTGTATGAGACCCAGAACAAGACAGACACAGGTAGGTACAGAAGTAACAGTGTTTATTATTTACAGTGGATAATAGACAGTTGCTTCTCTGCAGCTCCTGGAAAAGGAAGGAGATGGTCAGAGGAGTCTGGCAGGGTAAACAGGCAATATTAATGTGATGATGTTTCTCTCTTACAAGTTTGAAGATGTCTTTGGGTCCAACTCCAAATCCATGGGACAGCTCCAGAGGGAGATAAGGCCAAGGGTCCAACAGGACAAGGGAGGCTGGCAAGTGGTGGTAGGCAAGGCTCGAGGAGAACCAAGACGAGGCACGAGGAGAATCAGGACTAGACATGAGGAGAACCAGTACTAGGTACGAGGAGAACCAGGACGAGGCACGAGGAGGACCAGGGCAGGACCAAGGGAACCAGGACAGGACCAAGGAAACCAGGACCGAGGAGACTGGATCGCTGAGGACAAGAAAAGCTGGTAAGTAGATTTACTTAATGTGAACGTACAGGCCAGAGGCATAAATATTATTGATGGTCAATGCTCCAGCGAAGAGTAACATTGGACTGCAGCCTTAAGTAGGAGATGAGCCTCATCAAGTTGATGGCCATCAGCTTTAGAAAATTAGCGGCCATCTTGGACGAGGAGCTGCAGGCAGTGATACTCTTACAATTACAGGGAGATCGAGAGTAACAGGTGACGAGTGTGATTGCAGCCTGGCACATGTCATGACAAAGTTTACTGTACTTTAACTGAACTTGGACTTGGACTACTGTATCTCTACTTCGCGATTTTTCACTTATCATGGGGGGGTGCATGGGGGCAGTGTATGGAACCCCAGCAATAAACGAGTGACTACTGTACTGTTTCTTTTTATAATTTATATTTTTGCTACTTTGGGGTGTAACTGCGACCTTGAGTACAACCAATCACCATGTATGACAGTCAAACATTTTATTGTTATACATGATGATTTATTGTTTTGGACATGTGGGCCCTGTTTGCATGTTTAAAAGCCTACTTCTGAGATTCCAACAGGAGGTTGGCTTGAAACACAGCAATGAAGGCTACCTATGGGACAGCTCTTGTTGGCAGGCCGCAGATTGATAAAGTCTTCCGGATGGGAAACGAAACATTTCTTACTAAAAGAAACTGGTCCAGATGAGATGATTGAACCTTTTTTTGTTGTTAGCTACCTGACGGCTCCATATAGAGCAATGCATGTTTCTTTGTCCTGTGGAGCGGGGCCTGGTCTGTTTGCATTCACACTGTACTCGAACCACGCTGGAGTTCGCTTCTACCGGACCGAGACCTAGGTTTTAGCCCGGGCCAGAGTTCGCCTTTTTGTTCCGTGACAGAGTTCGATGGCGCGTTCACACCTCCCCAAACGAACCGGACTTTCTATGAAAACGAGCTAAGAGTTTGATTAAAGCGGACTAAACAGGGCTGGTGTGAATGCCCCCTTAGAACACCACTACTGCTGCATCTGAGCCGCCCCGCCTCCACCTAGGGCCGGTGGGCGGCGGCAGCGTTCTCTTTCTTTGCACGAGTCGGATCTGTGATGCAACCTGTCAATCAATTCAGTAGGCGTGTCAACAACAGACTAATCGACAATCTCAATTGGTCCCCAAGGTAAATGCCCCTTACCTGCATATATGCAGCCCATCAGTTTTTTTCTAGAACTTTATTAACAACACAAAACAGAACAATGCAACAAGATACAAATACAAACACATGAAGGGTGTCATAACTACATTTCACAAAATAGGGGGACTTACAAAATAATGAAAGAGAAAAAAATACCAAGGACAAGGAGGTACATCTGCAGCATCTGCATCATCTACCGTGCAGAAAGCTGAAGCAGAGAATAGGCGGAGTCACACTGAGGAGGACAGCGAGGAAGGTGGCACTTATTAAAACAAAGCTGCATATGCGGTGAGTACTAAACACCATCTCCTGGTACTCACCCGAGGAGCCCACTAAAAAAGTCATGTGCACTCTTGGTAATAATAAAGTTTTATATTGCTGTGGTAACATAATTGCACATTAAAAGCTTAATTTAGTCCCTCAGTACACCACTGAAATACCTGGTTCACCACTGCTCTTATAACATTTTTGTAAGACAAGATAAGATAGGATAGAACTTTACTGATCCCCCAAGAAATTGTTGTGCCAGAGTTTCAGTTCAACTATCTTCAGTTTCAAGGTCAACTGTCACCTGTTTTTCTTCAGAAATCCAAATGGATTGTCTCCCTGTTTTAGGCTGAGATCTAATGTTTCTTCAGCCCACTCAGTAATGCTGAAGATAGTTGTTAGGTCTAAATGCCATCTTTATCCAAGACTTTGGAAGCCTGTTGCTGTCCTGTTTTCCCATAAAACACCAAAATGTGTTTTCTTGAACTGATGTCACAATCCCGTGTGGTTCTGAGATGAACAGGAACAAATGTTAGTCATGCTGCTGATCCAGCTGACTGTTCATTTATCCTAAGAGAAGATTAAGAACTCAAGATGACCTTTGGCTTGTTGCTTAGGATCCACCATGATTTAAAGCATATGGGCTGTTGACATCAGATGCCTTTCTCGATGCTCCTCTCATTTTTTTCGTTCATCTCAAGTCATGTACAAATTAATTTTCTATTTTTCCATTATGGTCATCCAGCATAAAAAAACACTAAGAGGAAAACCACCAGAGAATAATATGACTAAATATTTCTCTTTCTCTTTCAATCCACCCTCTAGACAGCTTTTTTAATTTATTCTGACCAACTTGCTTTTGCATTTGTTCCTAGGAAGTGTGTAGAGAGCTCTGGTGCCTTAGCAAAAGCAACCGTTGTGTAACTAACAGCATCCCAGCTGCAGAGGGGACGTTGTGTCAGACTGGCATCATTGAGAAGGGGGTAAGTGAGCCTACGCTTCTTTTAACTTTACAGATTTTTACAAAAAAGTAAAAAAAAAAACAAGTTTTTTCCCCCTCAACATCAGCAGTACACCTGCATCATGTTGCTAAATCAGAAGTAGATTAGACCTGAACCTCATTCTTTAAAGAATCAAACTACACAGTGCCAATGGACATAACCCCCCCCCCCCCCCCCCCCCCCCCCCCCCCCCCCCCCCCC